TCGCTCATTCTGACTAGGAGCTTTTTCAGGTTTTCATCTTAGTATCTCTTTTTATTTTTCTTTTTCTCACAACTCACTCACTGTAGCCACTTTTGCTTAGATTGTCCAATTTTGGATTTTCAGGGATTCAACCTTTTGGAACATTGAAGGCCCGGTTCGAAAGGTAAAATTTAGTCCTCACATTAATATAAAAATGAAAAAATATTCACAATCTAAATAATCAAATGAATTGAATACTCATTGAACAGTGTTAGTTAAAATTACTAAATGATACTCCCTCCATCACGAAATCAACTTCCACGTTTCCCTTTCGAGACGTTCCAAAATTAACTTTCAATTTTACTTAATTTATCTTTGATAAGTTGCTGCTTTCAAAGTACCCTTGACTCTTCACTTTTACTATTCATTTACATTCTTTAATTAATTTGAACTACTACTACTTGTTACTATGCAAAAGTACTCTTTGAAAGTCAAATTCTATTTTATTTCTTACCTAAAAACGTGTGTAGTCAAACCCAGAAGTTAATTTTGGAATGAAAGAAGTAGTTAATACTTGAATTCAAACAAAACAAGTTATTAATCCTCGCAAAAAAACAATTCATTAATCAAAATATCAAATAATTTGAGTACAAGAAAACTAAAAGGCCAGGACTAAAGAATAAAATTGACGAATGTATTTTACTCATCCGTAATAATTTAAAATACAATTTTCAACATGTTTAAAAGCGGCCTTGCTATCCACGACAGCAACTGTGAGTGCGGCGGTGGCTCGGGGTAGAAGAGAGGTGGACTGGTGAAGGGTCGTCCAAGATTTAATTGGTTAAAGTTAAGGAAGTTGTCATTAAAGGAAGCTAAGCAAGAATTAGCCGCAACTTCTGTAATTTTTTTTTTTTGCCGCTATTTCTGTAATAAGCAATAGGTCAAATGAAAGAAAGAAAGAAAGAAAGAAAGAAAGAAAGAAAGAAAGAAAGAAAGAAAGAAAGAAAGAAAGAAAGAAAGAAAGAAAGAAAGAAGAAATGAGAAATGAGAAATGAGAAAAGAGAGATAAAAAAAGAAATTAAAATACGTGTGCGCAGAAAGAGTTCAGTGGGAAGTTGGCGCAGAGAAATTGGGATATTTCGGAAGTTATCGGAAAAAAATTGGGGGCTTATTTTTATAATTAGTCCTTTATTTTAGATCTGAGTCATTTGTAGCATTTGTAGCTTTGGTTTATCCTTTTTTAGATCTGAGTCATTTAATTCTATTTATTATATGTCGGGTTGTATCATATAACTGATACGGAGTATAAGTGTATATTATTACTATTACAGTAATGAATAATACTACCTCCGTCCCTTAATAATGTTTTCTTTTGGAATGAAATATGCTGATCCGGTCTGATCTGGTCTGGTCTAAACTGGTTTGGTTTGGTAAACGTCTGGTCTCTGTCTATTTTATAACTACGGAAGTCTGGTCTGATCTGATCTGATCTGGTCTGATCTGGTATGATCTGGTTTGGTCTGGGACTGAAAACACTCCAAAAGATAACATCCTAAAACTCCAAAAGATAACATCCTAAAACTTTGCTAACTTTCCTTTTTTAGATGTCCCACTAACCTTGCCACTTTCCCTTTTAGTTAAAGAATTTGTGGTTCCAATTACTCTCATCTCCAGAAGGGACGGTGGGAAATAGGTTGTAAATAATGACGGAAAGTCCACAAGGGACGGTGGGAAATAGGTTGTAAATAATGACGGAAAGTACATACTCCGCAACAGTTACAATGAAACCAACAGTTACAATGAAACACACTTCTTTTTTTTATAGGAAAACACACTACTTTTCATTACCCATATTCAGGGCCGGCCCTGAGCATGTGTAGGGGCCCAACCTCATAGGGCCCAGAAAAAATGAAGCAACCAAAAGAATAATTCCTAGTACAATTATCACTAGTGTTCTAACAAGCGGATAAAACCGCAATTAAGGCAGACCCTTGGACCCGTACAGGTCATTGAACATGAGGACTTAGTTATACAACTATAGTGCTAAGGGCTTTATCAACTTGAACGGTGTGGGATTTTGAGTATGGGATGAAGCAGAAAAATGCTTATAGTACGGAATTTGTTTTAAGGATTTTCAAACTAAGCAAATTGATGTTTGCACGAAGCATTAAATGAATCATTATTCTTTTAAATAATTACAATTTTATAACTAAAATAAATTATATTTATAAGAATTTGATTATTTATATGTAATGATTATAATAATTTAGTCATAGTAAAATATATTCCTTTTCGAAATCAAGTGATCATAACATTATAATCATAAGAACTTTAGGCAAAATTTAATAATATGTTTTATTTCATTAATATTTTTGAAACACATCTTATTATTATTATTATTGTTGTTGTTGTTGTTACTATTATTGTTGTTGTTGTTGTTGTTTGTATTATTATTATTAAATTTCATCATCATTATTTTTAGTATTCAACTACTTTTTCAAATTCTAGTCTTTGTGTAATAGTTAAATTTATATTTGTCAAATATAGCACTCTGTCATATTAGACTAGAACTTGAAAAAAAAATATAAGATACTCCGTATTATTTAATATTAGACTTTTATACTAAAAATATCTCTACATAAATTAAAAGAAAGTATAAAATCAAAATGTCTTGTCACTGCAAGATTTAAGTGGCTTAAGACTTAATCACGCCACCTTGATACACTTTACGGCTTTTAGAACATTGACTATGAAATGTATTTAGTTAACACATGTTTTTTTATTGCTTTGTTAATAAAAAAAATTAATAATTTGACATAAAGTAATACGGAGTAGTAACTTATTATTAATAGTGTACAATATATAATACTCCGTATTGTTTACTTATTTAAATAAAGGCCCGGTTTTTACTGTTGCACAGAGTCCCCGCTTTGTTAGGACTGGCCTTGCCCATATTTTAAATATGATTAAACGTATTTCGGGTAAATGTTTTTTGTTTGTTTTAGATCTGTATTATAATCATCGATTCACGTGTACCATAAAAAACACATGAAAAGATATTCAAAAAACATAATTGAGACCCTCACTCAATTGTTCCTCCATCAAATTATAATTTCTTATTATGACTTAATAATCCTCCCTATTTTATCCATTTAATCAGTCGTTTAAATCGTTTTAGAATTGATGTGTAGTAATTAGTGACATGTATTACACATTGACAATGTGAATTCAAAAATAATTAAGTAACTTAATAAAAATGAGTTAATTTAGATTGTCTATTCAACACATATATAAATAGTCGCATGTGTAAAAATCACTAAATTAAGGCAAATTGAACGTAACGTCTTAATAGCAACATACAAGTTAATGGTATGTGTTTGGTTGAAACAAAACCGTTTGAAACGAAACCTCAATTGATTAATCAAGAACTTAAGATATTAAGGGGTGTTTGAAACTAATTCCGCTTCTTTTTTAAAAGTATAAGTAGAATCAGAATCAGTTTTTTAGAAGTTGATCTCCCCCAACTTCTAAAAAATGGTTTCTAGGAGTAATTTGGAGCACTCAGATGTACTTATGCACTTTCACCCAAACACTTCAATATCTGTTTCTATTCCCTAAAGGAGGAGAAACAGATTTAAGAAGCGGATCCGAACAGCCCCTAAATGCTATTATCAAGTCGGTATATGACAGTTTTCTATTACATAGTATATTTTTGGCTAATAGTTAGAGTTGTTTTTTGACAAAATAATAGTTTGAATTATTAATGAATGATTTCGTTATCCGTAACTACCCTCCATGAATTGGGCATGCTCCACGATTGACCAATCGGGAAGCAATAGTTAAAGATATAATCGTGATCAACAAACATTTCAACGTGTGTGGAAGGTATAGTATTAAAAACCAAATCTTTATGTTATTGATTCACAATCGGAATTTTATCAATCTAGGATCTGAAAGATAATAAACAATCAATCCGATATCCCGAAGATGAAATGTGTCGGTATAGGATCCAAGTGATCGAAAACTATCAACCTAGGACCTAAGTTGTCACAATTTTTATTACTCCGTATTATTTTATTTTAAAATATTTAAATATTATTTAATTTTACTAGACTAATAAACTTTTGTTAAGACAAATTCATCAAAACATAAAGGAACATGTAGTAGAATGGTTTTTATATTGTGTGAAGAAATATTATATTATAACTCCGTATGTCTATATAAAAACGAACATAAAGAGTATCGATCGGCACACTTTTAAAGTTTATCGGCAGTTTCGGCCATTTTGATACGACGTATTATGCATTCCTTATCCTCAGGAGCCAAGCTATACTCGCTCTAGCTAGCTATAAAGCTATCTAAGGAATATAATAATTTGAATGACTACCTACGTCCTAAATTGATTTGCAAATTTGACTTTTCTTAATAAACAGTTTCATTTTATTTGCTTAATTAGGATGTCAATTTTTAATTATATTCTAATTTGGAATTTGCAACTTTGAGGAGATTTTAATGTAGTTTCCTAATATGTAAATTTTAATTATCAATAATTAAGTCAATTATCGATAGGAAGGATTGACTTCTAGTATTGGTTGATAAAAAAAATTGACTTCGCAAAACAATTTGAAACGAAGGAAGTAGTAAACTTTATTAAGTTCAAAGTAGTTAATACTACGTATAAATTTGTCATATACCGTGTGTATGAGTTAGATAATACTCCCTCCGTCCCAAAAACAACTTCACAGTTTGACAATCACACAGATTAAGAAAATAAATTTGACTTTACTATTGGGTGCACTGTTTTGCACTGTTCAAACACTGTTTGACATTGTTGGACACTGTTTGATACTGTTTGTCACTGTTTTGATGTAGATAATTTGCCAAATAAGGAAAGTATTGAAGTGTGAAGTTAATTTTGGAACATCCATTTAAGGAAAGTGTGAATTTGTTTTTGGGACGGAGGGAGTATATTTATACTACGTATAAATAGGTATGAACAAGAGCGAACCATTCCATTCACCCATCAGTCCATCACACACGTATTACAAATCAGATACATTTTATATGGCCTTCCCGTTTCTACCATTTCTGGGAAAATCAACAGTGTTCGGATGCATATCTTCTTATCATCCAAGATTTCCGGTCCATAATCTGTTCCGTAAGAAGGAAAAACGACCTACTTCGTTAATTACTAATGCACGATTGCAGCCTCATAAACACATCAGCTGCAGTGATAGCGATAGTGAGAGTGAGAGTCTCTCGAGCTTATCAAGCCTCTCAGACATTGACTACAATAACAATGATGACGATGTTGATAGTGACAATGACGGTGACACCGACACTGACAGCATAGATGAGATGAGCATAGTAAGTTATTGGGTGATTTCCCAAAATACGGGAAAATGTGACATGCATTGCCAAAATATGGGGATTTATTTAAGGTTTGGCTTAATTCATAGAAAACCTCCGGTTGGAACTGAGGAATCCGACCAGAGATAAAATATTTAAAAAAACGAATTACACCTCTTGTTGGAAGTGCCTAATCCGACTAGAGGTTTAATTTTTAATAATTCCAAATAAATTTTCGAAAATTAATTAAACTTTTTTAATTAAATTGAAGTGATACCACTTTTTTAATTGACCAATCCGAATTACACTTTTTTATGAATATTGAAGTGACCAAAATCCGTATCTCATTAAATTTGATCTGATTATATTTATGTGATTAAATTTTGCCTGATTATATTCATCTGATTAAATTCTGTCTGTTATAATTTTATGTGATTATATTTATCTCATTATATTTATCTGATTAAATTTTATCTGGTTCATTTTATCTGATTCAAATATCATCTGATTAAATTTATAATCTGAAATATCATCTGATTATATTATATCTTTTTATATTTATCTGAACAACATCTTAAGACATAAAAAATGAGAGAACCAATATTACATTAGTAATTCGATGCAATACAAAAATTCCAATAGAGTATACATTACAAAATTACTTGGGTCCTCTCCTTCTTGAACGTATTTTTCTGCTTATTTGTTCAAGACTCTGAGATTATTTGTAAGTTCCTACTTTTTTAATTTATGATAATTAATTCTGTTCATACCAATTCTGTTGATTATTCAATTATGAGTTGTAAGTAGTTTTAATTAGGGATTTGAGATTGATGAAGTGGTTAATCGTGATGTATGGTTAGTTTCTTGATGGATTAATTGCATGAATGCCGTTTAATTTGTGTTTGAATAATTTAATTGATATCTCTTGTAACCTAGAACCGCAGCTAGAATTACAATTGCATATAAAATAAATTAAGAGATATCTAGTTTATTCTAAGACACCTTCACACACACACACACTTAATCGTTCGCTAAGAGATTAGTAGCGATTAAGGGGTCATACGCTCGCTCGTTTTGGCAATAATTTAGGATCATGTCATATGAGAGATTAACCAGGTCTCCTAAATTATTGTACTCTACGCTGCGAGAGCGGTAAGAACTTAGTAATGATTTGCGTTGCTCAGTTAAATTAAGTTCATGTAATTAAAGCTGATCTGTCATAAACCTTGTTACCCCGGAATCAATCATGTTCCCTTCGTCGTTAATTAAAAAGAAACAAGTTTTTTAACCGTTTTATTGCATTTTAATTTTCCAATTAGTCAATTTTCGCACCATTGCATTTCTTTTATTTTCTTTTTAATTGCTAAATTTAGTCAATTCTTAATTTATTTTTGTCTGTCACTGTGGAGACGATACTCGTACTTCAATCCTTTACTACAATCTATTTTAAGTGCGAAAAAATTCACATCCGTAGGAATTTGATGAAAAATTAGGCCAAAAACGAAACACGTATACTCAGAGAAATTTCCGGACCAATTACATTAACTCCTTTCACTAATAAACAGTAATGAAGTACTCCACTTAACCATATTCTTTCGGCTCAGATTTATTAATGTGAAAATATTCCACTTTAACATGGTTGGAACACCCAATTCCAACTGGAATTTTAAATCGAAAAAATAAAACTCTAGTCGGATTCCCCAAATCCAACTACAGGTATTTCCTTATTTTTAGAAGCCCTACCTCCAGTCGGAAACCATACTTCCGACTTCCGCTTTTTGGTAACCTAATTGGAACTCCCTTATTTTGACTTGTCAGACAACAAAATCGCGTATTTTGGCACTTTCCTCTATGTTATTTATCCTTACGAACTAGGTTAGAAGGGTAACAATTATGATAATAACATATGACAAGATTCTGTTTTACAACTAATCCTATGTCAGTAAATCAAAGGTAGGTAATCATATGACATAAGTACATTATAGTTGTAATGACCTATTACTTATTGTATATACTCCCTATAAAATTACATATTGTTCCAAAACAGGTTTAATAACTCTTTCCTACATTCCTTAAAAAAAACTCTTTCCTACATTAATAACATCAAATCACTTAATTGTTATATATTTATTTCTTTATGAACCTTATTACATGCAAAATTAAACATCATATGTGAAGGTAAACAAGAGAACCAGGGAATTGGAACAGAAAATGAGGATTATGAAGACACCAGAGTTAAACAAGGAAACAAAAGATATACCCTTCCCTATCTATATAGTTCATGCTCCTGGCGAACGGCTTTCGCTAGCAGCAACACCATCTAAGCCATGGTTCTTCCGCACCACGGGACCTCGGGTCAACCCCACCAGCCTACGCGATGTTGGCAGTGATAGTCATGAAGCTGTTGCGGTTGATCTTATTAGCAAGGTGAGTCTTGCAAGCCAAGCTTTTATATATTAGGGTTTTACGCTATACTACTTATAATGTATAGACTAAATACTTCCCTATCATTTCACAAACTAGTAGTACAAAGTAATTCCCTCCGTCTCATTTTACCTTTCTTACTTTCTTTTTTGGATTGTCCCAAAATCAGTGTCATATTTCCTTTTTGGAAATAAATATGTAATCTACAACATTTCACTTTATTATACTAAAATCTCAATCACAACTTTTACTTAGCTTTTTCAACAAATTTATTAATAATTATTTCAAGTGATAGTAGGACACATACAATGGGACAAATGTAGTATGATACAAGGAAAGTAACTCTATACTTTTGTCTCATTTTATCATTTCGAAAAATCCCACTAAGATTGTCTCATACCAAATTTAGTAAAGTTTGTGTGTCTCTAAATTATTCTTACTTTAACAATTTAATATCAACCACACAAACTCATTTTTCTTAATAATCGTGCAACCTTCTTTCATGTCACGTGGGCAACATAACTTTATTCTCTAATTTAACTCCCAAGGATTAAGGATGAATGATTTAATTAACTCTACAGGTATTAGTTATTTAATCCGAAAATGAGTAATAGATATTTCGCCAATGAATTAAGTGTTTTCCTCTTTTAACTAATTTGTCTTCAGAAGAATGTGAATTTGAGAAAAGCATTTGAAGGGAAAATGACAATGAAGATCCAATCCCGAAGCTAGATCCAGACGAGCTTGGAAGACGATCGGAAGAGGATGAAGTAAAATCTTGGCTCTTCCTTAATTTGTGTACTGAAAGAAAGAAAAAATAATACAAGTGTGTTCTAATAATGTTGAAATGCTTGCAAAATAAATGTTGAAATAAAATCCGTATATAGTCCGTATATACGACTGACTGTTGGACTGAATGCGGAGTGTGACTGTGTGAGAATGGCGAATAATAAGAATACATGTACATGAATGGGAAATTCAATAAAACTCGACTTGCACAGTTACACGTTCATATTTATATACAAATTTTACGTATACGGAGTAGAAATTTATTGGAGTAATGCATTCATATGGGTAGGGGGCCTTGCCCCCAGCCCCCTTACATTCATCATCATTATCAGCGGCGGATCCAAAATTTTGAGATGTTCTGGATTGAATAGAATTATACTATACTTAAATATTAAAAGGGTGACTTAAATGTGAAAAATAAAAAAAATACACTAAAAAATTAAAAATAAAATCTTAGTTGCCCTAGCTAGGTTTCAACCTATCATAACCCGTACATAGATCCCCCCTGATCATTATTATCACCACCACCATCACCACCACTGCATCCTCCTCTTCAATTTTCCTCCTCCTCCACCTCCTCGTAGCTCCTCCGATCCTTCGTTGTTTTCCTCATCCTCCTCTTCCCCCCCCCACATCACCATCGATCATCGTCATTACGAAACACAGTGCCTATATTATATTTTTGAAGAGAAATTAAACAAAGCTATACATGTATGTAAATATAATCATAGTATGTGCTAAACACACAAGTTGACCATCATGAATCATATAATGCAGTCTTGAATATTTCTAGCAAAAGCGTTTAAAAAAGGTTAAAAGGTAAAAAAAATGAAAAAAGAAGAAACAGTAACAAGATATAGGAGAAACATGATTTGGTGCTGAATATCTCGTGTCAAACTGTTTTTGACACGCATTTGGATATAACTTCCAAAATCCCTGTAAATTTCGAAAAATTCATGCCAACAATTCCTGTCAATGCCATATTTTTTGTACTGAATGAACTCGCTAAAAGAGATGATCAATATTGACGAATGTGCTTCTTGGATGGTTTTGGTGTTTCAAAGCCGGAGATCACTTGTGTGCATAACCTTTGTTGTACATGTAAAATTCATTCTTGCATTCGATTCAAAGTAACGATGGTTGTGTTTTTATAATAAGGACGATTTAGATGTTTATGTAAACTAAATTAATTTGGGGTCGTCAATAGAATTAATCTAAAGCATAAGTAGAGTAATCTTGGCCGATCCTTCACTAGCTAGCTAATTCATATCTAGCTCAGGCCTTGTAAGACCTACTCTTAGGGAGTGTTTGCAATTACTTCAACTTTAAAAAAGTGATTTTTTAAAGTGATTTTGGGAAAAGTGATTAATAGTAAAAGTTGGTAGTGTTTGAGAAAAAAGTGATTCTGAAAAAGTAAAAGTTGGTAATGTTTGGTAAAATAAGTACTTTTTGTGTAATAGAAAAAGTGAAAAGCAGTTTAAAGCACCCTTCCACCTGCTTCCAGCTTTTAGCTTTTAAGTGATTAATTTAAGCAAAAGCTGTCATTTGAAAACACTCTTTTTAGCTTTTTTTAAGCCAAAAGCTGAAAAGCGCCTTTTTTAAGCAACCGCAAACACTGCTTTAGTTTGAACGGACCGTTACTATCTCATCCGGCATATGGCCCATTACCCCAACACTGTGTTAAATGTAAAAATTGATTACAATTTTACGTAGTAAAAAACTTGAAACCATTATGAAAAGATACGGGATTACTTTTCTTATTAATTAGTCCCTTAGCTTACTTATTATCATTCTTGAGGCTCTGTTTGCAATAAGTTGTGCTGAAATAAAAGCAATTTTTGGGAAAAAGTGATTAGTAGTAAAATTGGTAATGTTTGGTATAATAAGTGTTTTTTGTGTAATAGAAAAAGTAAAAATAGATTCTTCACAGAAGTCGAAAAAAGTAAAAGTTGGTAATGTTTAGTAAAATAAGCGCATTTTTCTTTTAAAAAAGCCAAAATCACTTTCCTTAAGGGATCTCAAACAAGCCATGATATTTGACTTCTCTTATCTTAATTAACAAAGGGAAAATGTACATAGTATTAAACAACCTCCCACCGTTCAGTTCTCTACCCCCGAGCAGTTATCCACGCATGTAATTTACGGAGAGGGTCTTCTTAACTACGCTTTTCCAACATTCTTTAAGCAAGAAAATTCTAAATGACTTAGATCCTGTCCAAGTAAATAATTGGAAGTTGACTAGCTAATTTTACTTGAAAAAGTGCTAAAAAAAATTGGATGCAACTCAATTGATGAATTAATAATATTAATTAACCAAGTGAAACAGCACTCTAACTTCCCTTGTAAAACAGATATTTACAAGAAAAGTATTCCTAATAGGTACAAAATTATAAGACTAATTAACAAAAAGAAGCAAAAAGACTAATAACTAGTTTGCTCACAAAAAATAGTTAGCAGACTACAACTTATCAATGGAAACAAGAAGACAAAAAATTGCATAAAATTAGATTCCTATTTTGTTGGTGGGTTGATTGAGCTCACCAATTGATCCTGAGAATTTGGAAGTGTTTGGATGAACTTTTCTGGAACCAAACACTTATCCTTTGAATACAATTTTTCTTGAATCAACGAAGACCCGACAAGTGTCTCTAATTCTTCATTCATAAATGTCTCCTCATTTTCCTGCAACATTAACGTAATAACGTACACATATACAAATATATATACAATTATTGATTTGCAGTCATTATAAAACCTAGCTAAACCTCAATATATATTGTCAAACAATTTAATGAATTAATCACACAAAGCATAACAGCTACGGAGTATTAATCATTATATTCTCAAAATGAATACCCAGTATTTAATTGTTTTTTCAGTTATGGACTTGTGGATTATTAATAGTATATACTCCCTTCGTCCCAATTTGTTTTGCAAATTCAACATTTTTTGGTCAACCAATAATAGAAGTCAACTATGAATAATTAATTCAATTTTTAATAATTAAAATTTATATATTCAAAAACTATATTAAAATCTCTTCAAAGTTGTAAATTCCAAATTAGAAAATAATTAAAAATTGACATCCTAATTAAGTGAACTAAACGAGACTATTTGACTAAGAAAAGTCAAATTTGCAACTCTATTTGGGACGGAGGTAGTAATACATATAAACTCCCTGCAATAACCGAGATTTGGAATATAATTAAATCAGAGACAAATGTAGTACTACGTAATTGTTACTTTTATTTGTAATAATCGAACAATAATTCAACTTTTCCTTTCAAGAAAAATATACTCCTAGCTAGTAGTACTTAACTGTCAAGTTTCAAGCAAGGAGTACTAGCTATATATATAATGAAAATGTAAATATGTACTGAAAATTAAATGTTCATTTACACATTAAATGTGCTTAATGATCAGTAAATAAGTATAGTGAAATAATTTATCTTAAGTAATTATATTTGTAGTAAATGAATTAAATTACCTGAGATGGGGAGAGGCAAGACTGAAGTACAGAAACTTGGGTTTGCATGAACTTGATGTAGTTATAGGCCGCCTGAAACATCTCGGCGGTGTTCATTTTCTGGCCGCCCGGAATCAGCTTTGCCAGTTCCTGCGTCTTCTCCGTGATCCTCCTCCGCCTCTCCCGAGCGGCAATGCTCTGCGGCGACAGCGTCTTTCCGCCGTCGCTCTTCTTCCCCGCCATCCAACTCTCCGCCTCCGAGCTGTAAGCTGTAAGCGAAGCACGCGGGAGCTCCGGCAACGGAGGCGGAGGCTTGAACTCGTGCAGGCGAGGAGGGTTCGGAATGAAGACGCCGAAACAGCTCTGGGTAATGTCTTCTTCCTCACTGTGGAAGAGCTTCTGGCGCTTGGGTAGGGGCTGCCGAAATGCGAGGTCTTGCTGGAAGGAGAAGTCAGGCGGCAAGGAAAAGCACTCGCCGGAGAAGACGGGGTAGTCGGAGTTGAAATGAGGGTCCACCGGGGTGGGTTCGGGAAGAACAAGATCATGGTTGTTGAAGCCGCCAAAAAGAAGCTCACCCGCCGGAGGTTCAAGAAGGTGATGACTATCCACTGGCTGCGGCGGCGGATGGTCGTCGAAGATTTGGGTGAAGTTAAGGAAGTTGTCGTGAGTGGTTTCCCAGGTAGGATAGTAGGAAGTTAAGCAAGAACTAGCCGCCATTTCTGTATAGTATAGTAATAAACGAGTCAAATGAAGGAAAGAAGCAGAAAGACCTACAGAAAGACATAAAGCAAGAAATGAGAAAGAGAGAGATAAAAGAGAAGGGATTACGTGCGCAGCAGTGGGAAGTTAAGGAGAGAAAATAGGTTATCATATGGATGAGATTTTTGGGTGAGTAACTAACTCCCAATAATGAGGGATTAATTCGGAATTAGCGTAAGAGAATATATATATATATGGGGCTTATTTTTATTGCAGTCCTTTATTTTCCAGTAATTAGCATGAGTAGCTTCGGTTTATCCTAAATTTTCTGGTTTTGTGTGTTGTTTAATTATATTTATGTACCCGGATGTATATTAATTACGGTATGTGTATACGGAGTATTATTTCTATTAATTACAATTATTATATCAATAATAATAATAGGCTGTAATAATGACAGAAATTACGTACTCCGGGAACAGTTACAATCAAATAATAATGGCACCATTATTATCTCCCACCTTTTATTAGACCAAAATATGAGTGGATTTTTGTTTCACAAAAAAGTGACCCGTCTTACCGTTCAAAATTAAAAGCCAGCGGTCGGATCCCCTTCGTCTTCTCCATCGCAAATCACAAGAGACCATCAAATACTTCTTCTCCATCCCAAGTCATCATTCTTCTCCACAGCTCCACGGTCGGCCATCTCCCCCGCAGTCGGCCATCATCCTTCCGCAGTCTGCATCTCCCCGCCGCAGTGAGCTATCACACCTCCAAAGTCTCCAATTGCACCGCCGCAGTCGGCCATCGCACCGCCACCCGCCTCCAATCGTACCGGCTACAGCCTCTCCATCCAAACGACGCTCCACCTCGTCGCAATAGCCTCGCCATCCAACCGACGCTCCACCTCGATGTCCACAGAATCCAGATTTCAGATCGAATCTGAAGGATTTCACCTTTTTTCAGATCTGGGCGACTCAGGTGTGGCAGGAGTAGGGAAATGACTGGTGGCGGGGTTAGAAGCTACGACATGGAGGCT